TGAATTAGTGTATAATAGTCCCACCAATCGTTCATATCATTTGGAGAATGAAAAGTAAAGTTTTGGGGTTAAAACTCACTTTAGAAGATTAAATCCTCTCCTGCGAGGTTGTGTTTTGCTCGGACGGTTTGGAAGCCTTCCACTACTCCAATTTCTGCAAACCAGACCTTCACGGATTCCTCGTCTTGAGAGATTTCTTTTGGTATATCATACGCCTTATTTGGACGAGTGAAGCTCAAGTTATGGGTCAAACAAGTAGCCCTATCTTCTGGAAAACGAGTCCTGCGGCCAGCTTCTCTCTTCACCTCTCCCTTGGAGTATGTGGCTCTCTCTTTCTCTCTTATCTTGGGAGTTCGAATGGGGTGTAGGGGGAGTGTATTAGGAGGCCTCAATCATGCTAAGAGAGCATGTGGTTCACAAAAAGAAGGGTAGGGTATTTGATTGCAATCAAACATGGTGTGGACCTCCTCTTTTATTTCCTTTTTGTAATGTTGTAGTTCATGAGTCAAAAGTCCGCCCCACATAGTTGTCTCACCCATTTTCCTTTGTCTTGCAGGTACCAAGGTCATGTGGGATGGTTCCCAAATGATCCCATTCAATTTGGGGTCCAAAATATCTATCAATACTTCCAAAAATGGAAAGATGGGTTCTATTGTTTTATCTTTTGTCAAAGATGTCTTTTTGTACTCATCCTAACTTATTTAGAACAAGTCAACTTCCTACATCACATTATTGATCTCCAATATGTGTAGGCTCATCTCAATAATTTACATGATGAAAATTACAAAAGAATACGGGTTCGAACAATACAATATTCAATCATGTACTACATAAAATATTAATCGTTCTTCCATTGTTTTGAAATCGGAAATTCAATACATCACTTTGAATTTAAGAATGGAATTTTCAAGGACGTTCGGGTGCGGTGTCACAAGTTCACCCCCCCTTAACAGGAATTTCGTCCCCGAAATTCACAGTTCTAACCGAATAGGAAAGCATACTGCTTCCTCATCAAGGCCTCTGTTTCCCATGTCTCTTCTTCGACCCGATCGCTCTTCCAAAGTACTTTAACCATTGGGACTTCTTTGCTTCTCAATTTCTTCACCTTCCTATCGGTGACCTTGATTGGTTGCACGGCGTAGTTCAAATCCTCACGTACCTCAACAGGCGGCTTTTCTAATACGTGAGAGGGATCATGCACATACTTCTTGAGCATGGATACATGAAACACATTGTGTATCTTCTCTAACTCAGGAGTCAACTGTAGACGATATGCTACGGCCCCAATCCTCTCTATAATTCTGAATGGACCTATATATCGTGGGTTAAGTTTTCCTCGGGTTTGAAATCGAATGATTCCTTTCCAAGGAGAAACTTTCAAGAATACCTCGTCATCAACCTTAAACTCTAAGGTTCGTCGACGTTTATCTGCATAACTCTTTTGTCTATCCTGAGCCGCTTTGAGTCTCTCTCGAATCAACTTCACCTTTGATTTGGTGACCTCAACCAACTCCGTACCCTCGAGTTTGGCCATGCCAACCTCGTCCCAGCATAACGGTGTACGGCATCTCCTCCCATACAATGCCTCGTATGGAGGCATGCCGATGCTTGCCTGATAACTGTTGTTATAGGCAAACTCCACAAGTGCTAAGTGGTTGTCCCAACTTCCTTGGAACTCCAATGCACAAGCCCTCAGCATGTCTTCTAGGATCTGTATAACTCTTTCAGACTGCCCATCCGTCTGTGGATGGAAAGCAGTACTGAACTTCAACCTCGTTCCCATAGATTCCTGAAATTTCGGCCAAAAACGTGATGTGAATCGTGGGTCTCTATCGGATACAATGGTCACTGGAACCCCATGTAGCCTCACGATCTCATCTGTGTACAGTTTGGCTAACCTCTCAAGTGGGTAAGTAGTGTTGATAGGTAGGAAGTGTGCACTCTTCGTGAGCCTATCTACAACAACCCAAACTGCATCATAGTTCCTGATTGTCCGTGGTAAACCTACCACAAAATCCATAGTCACGTGTTCCCACTTCCATTCAGGAATGGAAAGTGGTTGCAATAAGCCTGCTGAATGCTGATGCTCTGCCTTAACTTGTTGACAAGTAAGGCATCGACTGATATATTCGGCTATTTCTCTCTTCATACCCGACCACCAGTAACTCTCCTTCAAGTCACGGTACATCTTCGTGCCCCCCGGGTGCATGGCATAAGCCGATGAATGAGCTTCCTCTAAGATGGACTTTCGGAGCTCGTCATCTGCCGGTACACACACTCGGTCACGAAATAATAAGAGACCGTCATCTCTTTCTCTGAAGTCCTCCACCGGTCCCGCTTGCATGCGTTCCCGGATCTTCATAATTTCTTCGTCGGTTTCCTGACCCTTCTTGATCTCATCAAGTAAAGTAGGTCTCACCTCGAATCGTGCCAATAAGGCACCATCGCTGGATACCTCCAGTTGGGCTCTTAATGCTCTCAAATTAGCTAGCAATGCCCCAGACGAGCTCTTCCGGCTCAAAGCATCTGCCACCACGTTTGCCTTGCCTGGGTGATACTCTATCACTAGATGGTAGTCTTTTATCAACTCCATCCACCGTCTCTGTCTCATGTTTAGCTCTTTCTGAGTAAACACGTATTTCAAGCTCTTGTGATCAGTGTATATGTGACATGTCTCCCAGTAGAGATAATGTCTCCATATCTTCAGTGCAAACACCACAGCCCCCAGCTCCAAATCATGAGTAGGATAATTCACCTCATGCTTCTTCAACTGTCGTGAAGCATAGGCGATTACCCTCCCATTCTGCATCAGTACACATCCAAGCCCTTGGATGCTCGCATCGCTATAGACATCGTACCCCACACCTTGTTTGGGTAATGCAAGTACCGGTGCCTCAGTCAATCTCTTCTTTAGTTCCATGAACCCTTTCTCACATTTGTCATCCCATACAAACTTAGCTCCTTTTCGAGTGAGTTTCGTCAATGGCGATGCCAAAACAGAGAACTTCTCCACGAACTTTCTGTAGTAGCCTGCCAATCCAAGGAAACTACGAATTTCCTTGACGTTCTTTGGCCTCTCCCATTCAGTAATGGCTTCTATCTTCTTGTTATCAACAGCAATTCCCGATCCTGAAACCACGTGTCCGAGGAAGCCAATCTCCTTTAGCCAAAATTCACATTTAGAAAATTTGGCATAGAGTTGCTTCTCCCGTAGTGTCTCAAGAACAAGTATCAAGTGCTCTTCGTGCTCTTCTTCACTCTTTGAGTAAATCAAGATGTCATCAATGAACACAATCACGAATCGATCCAAGTATTTATGGAATACTCGGTTCATCAAGTCCATGAATGCCGCTGGGGCGTTTGTTAACCCAAACGACATAACAAGGAACTCAAAATGCCCATACCTTGTGCGGAAAGCACTCTTTGGTATGTCGTCTTCCTTAATCTTCAATTGATGGTACCCCGATCTCAAGTCAATCTTCGAAAACACGGTTGCTCCTCGTAGTTGATCAAACAAGTCATCAATCCTAGGCAACGGATACCTATTCTTGATTGTGACCTTGTTCAGTTGACGATAGTCAATGCACATTCGGAGTGTCCCATCTTTCTTTTTCACAAAAAGAACTGGTGCTCCCCACGGGGAGTGGCTGGGTCTAATGAAACCATTATCCAAAAGCTCTTGCAATTGGGTTTTCAACTCGTTAAGTTCAGCGGGTGCCATACGGTATGGCGGTATGGAGATTGGTTTGGTGCCGGGCTCAACCTCGATCACAAATTCAATCTCCCTATCAGGTGGAAGCCCCGGTAAGTCTTTAGGGAAGACATCCGGATACTTACAAACCACCCTCACATCATCGACGTTCGTTTCTTCTTTGGTTTTGTCAACCACGTATGCTAGATATGCGTGGCATCCCTTTCTCATCATACTTCTCGCTCTCACGGCGGATATGATGCAGCTATTTGATCTCCCTCGATCGCCCTCGAAGCGTAGGGTCTCCCCATCATTGCCTTCGAGTTCAAGAACCTTCGTGTAGCAATCTACCCTAGCATGGTTCCTTTCTAGCCAATCCATCCCTAGGATTGCATCGAATTCCATCATGCTCAGCGGTACGAAGTCACACGTCAAGGTTTGACCATTAACCTCCACCCCACAAGATGGATAGTAACAAGTTCTTTCCACGTCATCCCCTAGTGGTGTTGACACCACTAAGGTTTGCATCAATGGTGCGGATTGCACTCCCAACCTCTTGGCGAACGCTTCATTCACAAATGAACGTTGCGCCCCGGTATCGATAAGGATTCGCGCATCCTTCCCATTAATCTTTAGTGTTCCTACATTTATAAGTCATGTAAGATACCTTTCCTACCATTCTTACACATTTAGAGAGGTTTATTATGTTCACACATGTGTTTGGGATCAAGAACGGGTCTTAACGTCGCAAAACGGTGCGAAAAATCTATCCTCGGCCATCTGGGTGCCAGGCACGGCGTGCCTGGGGTAGGCACGATCGTGCCTGGCTTGGGAAAAAGCCCTGGGCGCTACTGCCTCCCAGGCACGGTGCCACGCACGGCGTGCCTGCGACCGTGCCTGGCCGAATTTCCTCGAGGAGGCCGCTGCCTCCCAGGCACGGTGCCACGCACGGCGTGCCTGCAGCCGTGCCTGGCCGGAACTCCTTAGCGAGGCCACTGCCTCCCAGGCACGGTGCCACGCACGGCGTGCCTGCAGGCGTGCCTGGCCGGCAGTGGCTGTTTCCAGCCCGATTTGGCCTAACTCACCCGGTTTGGCCCCGGGGTGGCCCGCACTCAATCCCAACGACGTACATGATCTAAGTAAGCCTAAAAGTGCCCAAAATAGATGTATTACCAGCGATGGAGTCGGGATTAGCCCGAGCATCGGCCACGGTCATTGCGTAGACTCTAGCTTGCGTCCTTCCTTGATTCACGGACGGCGCGTTACTCGCGCTTGCTCCCCCTTGCCCCCTGGTTACTTGGGAGCCCCTGGCTTGGTTTCTACTTCCCGCAGCCCCGCTACTTGGTCCTGATGTCCTTGCCCCACCCAACTGGGGGCAATGCGCCTTCAAGTGTCCGGCATCCCCACATTGGAAACATCTAGGGGGGTCACGACATTTACCGGAGTGGTGTTTCTTGCAATTGTTGCAACGAGTTACCACTGAGGCTTGTGACCTCGAGCCTTGCCCACTCGGGCCTTGGTTCCCCCTAGATGGTGGCGGTGGTGCTCGGAAAGGTCCTCCCCCATGATTCCCCTTCTTGTTGGAACCTTGAGAGCCATGACTCTCCCACTTTCTCTTTTTCGCCTCTTCGGTGTCTTTCTTCTTCCTTTCTTCCCATTGTTTCTCTCCTTTCAACGCTTGGTCAACCACTTGGGCGAAAGTCATATTAGGCAATTGTGTTGCCCTATCACGTATCTCCAAGTCAAGAGCATCCCAAAAGTGGTTTACCATTCGGTTCTCGTCACAAGCATACTCCGGTATGTAGTCGGCGAGATCCCGGAACTTGTACTCAAGTTCCTTCACTGTCATGTTACCCCCTTGGGTTAGGAGGGTGTATTCCCTCACCTTCTTGTTTACTTCAAAATCAGAATAATATTGGGCAAAGAACTCCCGTTGGAAGTCCTCCCAAACGACGGTCTCACCGTACTTGCTCTTGGTTCCATCCCACCACTTGGATGCCATCCCCTCGAGCAATCTTACCGCAATTCTCAGTTTGAGATTCGGCGCGATTTGCATGTCAAGGGCTGCTTCATTTAGCCTCTTGATCCATTGTGCTGCAACTGAAATGTCCCCTGCCCCATCAAAGGGTTTGCACCCCAAGTCCCTTGCTTCTTTGATAAATTTGGAGATCCTTATGGTTGGACCTCCATCATTTTGGCCTCCATGTGGTTCCACATGGACTCTAGATGCACCATGACTTCCTCCTCTTGAAGCCATGCCCGAAGGTTGCCCCGCTCGGCGTCTTCGGCGTTGCCTCCTCTCTTCACGCTCACGGTGATACTGTTGGAGTAGCGCCTCAATCCGTGCCAAGGAGCCATTTTCCTCCTCATCACTTACATCGTCATCATCCCCTTCATAAGGGGTCTCGACCGGCTCGGTTTCCGGTTGGTAAGTCGAGTCCTCATAGGACCAGTAGGTTTCACTCTCTGTGTCGACATGACCGTCACTCACGGTCTGCGATCGGCCTCCACGGCCAGCTCCTCTAGATGCCCTAGAGGTCCTTCGACTGCCCTGTCCAGTCTCCACTGGTACACGGCCAGTTGGGTTTCTCCTAGTAATCCTGCCACCACGGTCCATTTCTGAAAGAAATTTGGAAAGAGTCGTTAAACTCATATCAAATGTCAATTGACGGATAGGTACTTAAGACACATTTTGGCTTGAGTCGCCGCCATACCAATTGCTAAGGGTACCATCTTAACAATTAGAGACCTTGCAACCCAAGTACCAAAAGCTCTCCAAGTACAAAACTTCTATGCTCATGGTTTTCAAAATCTTTTCAAAAAGAGAATTTTGAGACTTCATTATGAAGTTTATGGACTAAGGCTCTGATACCAACTTAATTGTCACGCCCCGGACCTCTCCGGACACGTCAACAACCCGCCGTACAATACGAATAGTCAACCGCAGTCCAACACATTCATATTATACAAGGCGTCATGAATATCATTCACACATAAGTCATCCATAAACATACATAATAAGCAATTCAATACGCAGCGGAAAACATTGTTTAAAACAAAAGGGCCACACAGGGCAAACATGAGCTCGCAGGCTCTAAAGTAAAATATCCATGAGCATGTTTATTAATGTTCTAAAACAGAATGGAGGAAGCACGAACCAAGTCTTCTCTCCGGGGAAATCACTCGGGCAACGAGCACAGGAAGCAAGCTCTAGCCTCAACCTGAAATGGTGGTGGGACGCCCCCGAAGGGGTCAGTACTCTATACGGCTATAAAGTACTGGTGTGGCAGGCATCTAATAGATATACAACAAGTATTTCAAACACAAGACCCTCAAATAGGGTGATAGTACATCATGGTTGTAACCCTAAGTTACCCCGTTTAAATATATACTTACTTTATATAAAAGTCAAGTAGTCGGCCCGTGGGCCCGTTTTCATTTGGAAATCACCATTCCCAACCCCGTGGCTATAAGCCACGACAACTCCTAGAGTCCAACCCTAGTACATGACATTGTATTCTAGAGCTCGGCTCTACCACATCACCATACAATTCATATACCTCGGGTCAATTTCCTTACCTTGCGTTCTAGAGCTCGGCTCTACCACATCACCACGCAAGTCCTAGAGCTCGGCTCTAGCTATACAATACATAGACTACAAGTCTACACCTTACATGCATTCTAGAGCTCGGCTCTACCACATCACCATGCATTAAGGCCCAATTCTCAAGCAACCCTATGCCTAGAATTGACATATCATTAAACTACCATGGGTCATCCTTAAAGACTTCCCATAACTTAACCTTAGTTCCATACTAAGTTATTAGATACACTTGAACTATATTCAAGTACCTTTCATACAATCCAATCCCTAGGATCAATTAAATCAACAAGTTCCAATAATCACTAACTAGTATTTCAATACTATTAAGATTATTGTTATCATACCACTATCCTCTTTACTTGTAATACTCTACATAATTATAATTATGTAGCAGCAACTTAAGTATTCAATCTCAATACACAATTATTCATTTATGTATCCAAATAATTCGTACATGAGCAAAATACCTATTTCGCAAAAATAGTTCATTGATACTCATTTAATCTCATATTATCCATACGTTCTCAAATCATTTCAAATTTCATTCTTTGGCAACTATATCGATATTTCAGCAATATATAATCATCATAATCCATGAAAATAATGATTTAAGCATTTAGGTAATCTCATGCTTAACCTACAAGTTGTAAGCAATTAGATGTCAATCCTCACCTCAATTGAGCTTTAAACTTTCCCTTCTTGGTCCAATGGTCAAAGCTTTGGTCAAGGTGGATTTGGAACTAATTCCTTGCTCAAATATGAGTGTTAAACAGCCTCCTCAAAGTGCTAGTTCAACCCTTAATCGTTGATATGAAAACAGCCCCTAGAATGGGTGTTTTCCGGTTAACTCGTTTCCTAGTTTTCCAAGATTTGCTCTAGGTTAGTATCCAACCTTTACACACATAAAATAACTTTATAAGGACATATTATACACTTGAATTAGTGTATAATAGTCCCACCAATCGTTCATATCATTTGGAGAATGAAAAGTAAAGTTTTGGGGTTAAAACTCACTTTAGAAGATTAAATCCTCTCCTGCGAGGTTGTGTTTTGCTCGGACGGTTTGGAAGCCTTCCACTACTCCAATTTCTGCAAACCAGACCTTCACGGATTCCTCGTCTTGAGAGATTTCTTTTGGTATATCATACGCCTTATTTGGACGAGTGAAGCTCAAGTTATGGGTCAAACAAGTAGCCCTATCTTCTGGAAAACGAGTCCTGCGGCCAGCTTCTCTCTTCACCTCTCCCTTGGAGTATGTGGCTCTCTCTTTCTCTCTTATCTTGGGAGTTCGAATGGGGTGTAGGGGGAGTGTATTAGGAGGCCTCAATCATGCTAAGAGAGCATGTGGTTCACAAAAAGAAGGGTAGGGTATTTGATTGCAATCAAACATGGTGTGGACCTCCTCTTTTATTTCCTTTTTGTAATGTTGTAGTTCATGAGTCAAAAGTCCGCCCCACATAGTTGTCTCACCCATTTTCCTTTGTCTTGCAGGTACCAAGGTCATGTGGGATGGTTCCCAAATGATCCCATTCAATTTGGGGTCCAAAATATCTATCAATACTTCCAAAAATGGAAAGATGGGTTCTATTGTTTTATCTTTTGTCAAAGATGTCTTTTTGTACTCATCCTAACTTATTTAGAACAAGTCAACTTCCTACATCACATTATTGATCTCCAATATGTGTAGGCTCATCTCAATAATTTACATGATGAAAATTACAAAAGAATACGGGTTCGAACAATACAATATTCAATCATGTACTACATAAAATATTAATCGTTCTTCCATTGTTTTGAAATCGGAAATTCAATACATCACTTTGAATTTAAGAATGGAATTTTCAAGGACGTTCGGGTGCGGTGTCACAGAAGCACCATGTAAACATTACCGATTGTCCTATCTATATTAAAAAGGGTTACTTCCTGTCTATCGCTTCCTACAGGGAGATTAAAAGCCGAAGTGCTATTGAAATGATTTCCTCCTCAAAAAAAAAAAAAGAGAGGAGAAGGGGAGATACGACTCCTATGAGAGAGGGAGTTTTGACGAGGTATGCCAGATCTTCCTTCGCTGCGTATGATGAACGTCTCCTGACACGGAGACTAGTAGGAACGCGGGGGGGGGGGGGGGGGGGGGGGGGGCTAGACGAACCAAAGGGAACCTCGGCAAGATAAACCAGTTCCTCCCATGTCCCGTGGATCGACGAACACCTTCTGCCAGGGCGGAAGGTTAGTAGGGCCACGAGCATGGGGCGACGAAGCAGGGAACCCGCGATAGGGTAAACCAGTGACATCCTTGCGATCGGTGATGACCGAACGTCTTCTTCGAAGTAAGAAGGTTAGTAGGGTCCCGACAAGGACGAACGAAGACACGGGAACCCTGACAGGGTATACCGGTTCCTCCCCCTGATGAGCGGATGACGAACGCCTTCTGCGAAGCCAGAAGACTAGTAGTTCGCAACTAGGGACGAACGGAGATAGGGAATCCCGACGTGGATATACCTATTTTTTCTCAGAGTGGGGATGACGAACGTCTCCTGCGAAACCAGGAGACCGGTAATCACGAAGCTTGGGAAGAACAAAGACCAATAAAAAGACTCCAAAAAAAAAAGAAAAAAAAAAGAAAAAAAAAGCGAGATATGCTAGACGAACATGGAGCAAGAAAGATTTTTATTCTTCGGTACTGACGACCGGAAAGTACAATGTGTAAGGTACCATGTAAACAATGAAATAATTGGTACAATGTGTAAAGTACAAGACTATGAGCGGAGAATCAATTCTGGTTAGCGTCCGGGGTTGGAACCTTGAAAGAGACCTGCTTGGCCTTTTCCCTGGCCTCGGCTTCTTCATGCTCCTTGCGCTCTCTCAGCAGCTCAAGGGCCCCCTTATGGGCGTCTACCATCAAGGAATCAAATCCAGCTGCCGCAGGGTCAAAGGGGGCTCCAAAATGACGCTCGAAGGCCGGGAGATTCTCTGCCACAAGGCCGACCATACCCTTGAGATAAGTATCGTCGGCGAGATCATCAAGGAAACGCTCCCCAGTGGGGGTGGCCTGGAGCAATTTGATGCCATCTAAATAAGGGTCCGGGCAGGTGGCCAAAAACTCACCGACGAACCTCGGAAGAAACTTTCTGGCCATGGTCTGGATGGCACCGGTGTAGGCTTTGGATTTCTGAAATTCGATGGAACCAGATTCCTTGATCTTCGAAACATCGGCCTCATAGATGGGGACGTGATTATCCACACCCGTACGGCGGATTTCCACCTTTGCCTGCTCCACGGCCCACATCCGGCTGCGAAGGTCCACAAGCTCAGCTTCCTGCTTCCTAAGGAGCTCCTTCTGAGAGGCATTCTCCTGGGCAAGCTTGTCGTAGGCATCGGCCTTCTCTTGGAGCGTCCCGGCCCTCCCTTTGGCATTCCTCAGAAGGGCATCACATTCTGCCCGCACTCGGGCCATCTCCTTACCCTGATGCTCAAAGGCCATCCGAGCCCTGTGGAAGTAGAGCCCGGCCTTGTCTAGGGTGCTCTGCCCACACTCCAGAAGATCCTCGGGGGCCTCATGAGCGGCAAAATCTTGGGGGACCTTGAGGTTGAGGCCACACCAAATGGAAGATGCGGTTTGGCCGAAAAGCATCATCGACTCCTTGCGAGGGCCAACCCCGGAGAATTCGATAAGGCCAAGAGAGGACCCGTTGGTTTCTGAGGGCGAGGGGGGGACGAGCATCGTCAGAGCCCTTGGTGGCAGGGGCATCTTCATCCCGGAGTCGACGAACCTCAGAGTTCAGCGGAGGAGAAATAGGGGGCTTGCTCCGGGAAGAGGGTTTCCGCTTCAAAGGACTCCCAGGCTCACCATCGGAGTCGTCAGCCACTATGATGGCCTTGGAGGCGGTACCATCAATGCGCGGCCTCTTTGAAGCCCCGGCCTCCGACGCATCGTCTGACCGCCTCCTGCTCGCCCGAGACTCGATCTTGGGGACGAGCGGCTTCCTGCCCTTATCCTCATCTTTGTTGTCGCGGCCGTGGGCATGCGAAGTAATGTTGGTACGTCCCATGGATGATGTAGATGGGAAAACTCCTGTAGAAAGGTAGTCAAGACGTTCAGAACCATAACAACGAAAGGGTGATAGGACAATGCAAGTACAAATAGACGCACCTAGTCCGGCCCGAGCCTTGAAAGGTGTTGGTCCCGTTTAATATGGTAATCAGTCTAGAGGGGGGGGGGGGGGGGGGGGTGAATAGACTGATTGGTTTTTCAAATTTTCTCTAAGTCCAAAGTGACTTATCAGAGAAGGTCTGATTCTGATTGTAAGGAATAAATGTAATTAGATTTTGATGATGCTATAGGATTAGAAAGTTAGAGTACCCCCAAATTAGATTTTATGTATTAGACTTTTCAATTGTAAGTATTAGTGTAGTCGACGATCAGAGTTGCTCTACCTTGGATCAGATCAGAAGTGCATCAGAATGGCTCGACCAGACTTGCTTTATGAGAACTGCTCCATCAGAGTTCTCTTACCGGAAGTCCATCAGAGTTGCACCATGAGAGTTGCTGATAAACTTGGTCATCTGATAGCCGATGAGATCTACAGATCAGAAGTACTCATCAGCGGACCTATCAGAGTCAGAGTCTGAGTTCAGTCAGAGATCAGAAGACCATCAGAACTCAACTCATCAGATAGCCATCAGAATCCAACATATCAGAAGAGCCTGATCAGAGCTCGACGAACACTTAGAAATTTTCAAGCAACATCCAACAGCTATGAATTCAACGGGTAAAAACATCCAACGGCTAGAAGACTGTGCCTGAAAGGAAAGCATTTAATGCACATTAAATGAGCCTGATACGCTGAAGGATTGATTGCAAATGATTGACCAAGGAATCCGGGAAGATATATTTTAAAAATAGAAACCTTCCAAAAACGGCGGTCAAGTCAACTGTACGCGCATTTAATGCAGTTGTCTCCTCCTCCAACGGGCAGACAACCTCAGTATATAAGCTACACACCGAAGAACTGAAAAACAACTTTGCTACAACTCTTACACATCATCATTCAAGCTCTCTTGAGATTCAAATTCTACAACCTTCAACAAGACAAGCTTACGTTGGGAAGATTCAAACTCCAAATCTCTCATCCCCAACAAACAAGCAAAGTTCATCCTGTTCTTCAACACTTCAAGAACTTCATCAAACATCATTTGTAACGAAGCAAGTTGGAGGAAAAACTCTGTTTTTCAAAAGGATCTTCTGAAAAGAAGGGCGTCCAAGTAACTGCAGTAGTGAAGTGGTGATACTTCCGGGAAGCTGAGTGAAAGGATCAGCCATCAGGACGTGGAACTGCATCCTGGGTGGCATCTAGGCTTGAAGAAGACGAGGAGTGCTTCTTGAGTGCTAGGATTTAGCTTTGTAACCGATCTACTTCAAAGCTAGTGGAACAGTGGACTAGAGGAACGAGTTGTTCCTTGAACCACTATAAAAATATCCGGTGTCATTTACTTTACTGCAACTTATATTTCTGCACTTAGGATATTAACTGATTAACTCTAAGACTTGGAATCTGTGTTCAGCAGATCTTGTTTTCAGAGTTATCAGAAAGGCATTTGCCTTAGTATTTTTCTGAGGCTACCCGGACAGATCAGAATCCGCTGCCAAGGCCAGTTCTGATATCAGAACCAGCCTTTCTCTGTCATCAGAATCAGACCTTCTCTGATAAGTCAGTTTTGACTTTGAGAAAAAGTTGAAAAACCAATCAGTCTATTCACCCCCCCCCCCCTCTAGACTGATTACCATATTAAACGGGACCAACAAGTGGTATCAGAGCCTCCTTGTTCTTGTAATCTTTTAGGTTACTCTCTGAACAAAGATCCACTTGTTCTTAGCCTCTCTTTATTTATTATTATGGATAATTCTCTTGCAAAGCATCTTATGTTCACAGATCAGAAGTATGATGATTGGAAGATCAGAATGAAGGCACATCTATGTGCCCTTCATGATGAAATGTGGGAAGTCTTGGAAAATGGCCCCTTCATCCAGTTCATGAAGATCAATCCTGCTCACTCTATTGACAACTCTCAACCCCAGATGATTGAGAAAGCCCGGTCAGAATGGACCAAGGAAGAGAAAAGGCAGTACAACCTAGATAATATAGCCAAGGACATTCTTTACAAGGCTATTGATGAAAGATACTTCAACAGAATCAAGAAGTGCAGAACTGCCAAAGAAATCTGGGATAAGCTGGATGAGATTGGAGCAGGAGATGAACAAGAAAGAGATAACAAGTTGACCATTGCTATGAAAAAGTTTGATGATTTCAAACTTCTGCCAGAAGAATGCATTGCTAAGATG